GGTCCCCGGGGATGCGGGGGATGTGGAGTCCCCCTGTTGTGACTCATAAGAGCAAGCACCCCAATATTGCCGAGCAGGGACCACACTTTCTTCATCACAGCTTTCTAGAAGCTTCCACTCCTCAGCTATCTCCTTGTGGCATAAGCCTGTGCTAGATGGTGCTTTCCGTGCCTCGTCTCAGTTGGCTCTGGGCATGCTAGCTGAAAAGGGGGTGCTATCGAGAAAACTGAGGTGGGAAGAGTGGGGGCCAGAGGGACTCTACAGGAAGATCTGCGCCCAGCAAGTCAGGACCCCGTTCCTCCTCGGCATGAGCCACCAAGAAAGCATCCTGTCTCCCTCTGACGCCACCAATGTCTTGAGTTCTAGAACCTGACAGAAGTTTCTCTCCGGCCCTAGCAGGTCACCCGTTCCAAGACTACCTGGGCTGCTGCGTCCAAGTGCGGAAGTGTGTGAGCCCCAGGAGGAAGACACTCCTGTGTCAGCACCCCACACCCACCACACCAAGCATCAGACACCCCATGCATCATTAGGTATGTGTAAAGATTAGGAAACTGAGGCAGTACAGGTCTAGTCACTTGTCCAGGGTGCGAGAGAGCAAAGTAGCTCAGATTCAGGCTACATTTGCACCTAGCCCCAAGCTCTTAACCAACCCCTAGGTTGGTTCTAGGATCTAGAAGAGTTCTTCCTGTCTTCAAAGGATGGATGGATGGCCAGGCACTGGTGGCTCATGCCTATAACCCTAGCTACTCAGGAGGCTGAGATCTGAAGATTGCGGTTCAAAGCCAGCCCGGGTAGGAAAAGCTGTGAAACTCTTATCTCCAATAAACCACTAGGAAACCAGAAGTGGCACTGTGGCTCAAGTGGTAGAGTGCTAGCCTTGAATTAAAGAGCTGAAGGACTGCACCCAGGCCCAGAGTTCAAGCCCCATGACCAACAACAACAACAAAAAAGATGGATGGATGGATGGATGGATGGATGGATGGGTGGATGGATGGATACTGGTAGATGGGTGGATGGTGGATAAATGGTAAATGAATGGATGGTGAATAAATGGGGGGGTAGATGGATGGATGGTGAATGGATGGATAGATAATAGACAGGTAGGTAGATGGATAGTGAATAGATGGATGGTAGATGGTGGATAAATGGATGGATGGCAAATGGATGGATGGGTAGATGGATGGATGATGAATGGATGGATGGGTGGGTAGATGAATGGTGGATGGATAGATGGATGTATAGTGGATGGGTAGATGGGTAAATGGATGGATGGTGAATGGATGAGTGGGTGGATGGATGGTGGATGGATAGGTGGATGGATGGATAGATGGTAGATGGACAGATGGATGGATAGTGGATAGGTAGATGGGTAAATGGATGGATGATGAACGGATGATTAAATGGATGTGTGGGTGGATGGATGGATGGATGGATGGACAGATGGTGGATGGATAGATAGGTAAATGGATAAATGGTGAATAGAGTGGGTAGATGGATGGCAGACAAATGGCACAATCCTTGGGGTTCCAGCAGAGCCCCCAGCAAGGCGGGGAGAAGCCACAGAAAGGGAATGTGAGAATACAAGGCCTGCATTTGAGCAGATGCTATCAGAAGCATGTTCCTGTCCCTGAGCCAGGAATCCAAACCAAAGTCCCAACCTCTGACTAACTTCAACAACCCTGGCCACAGGACCTCCCCTGCAGACCAGCTGGGAGCAAGCCCAGGGTGAACAGCACCCATGACAACGGAGACAGAGCTCCCTCCCAGAGGATGCTCCCCCACAAGCAGCACCAGCTTTTGAGGCTCCTGGTCTATGAGCCTGGATGCCCAGGATGAAGGCTTAGTCTCTGAATGAATGAATGAGTGAATGAATATCCTCCAGGAGACAAAGCTTCAGAAACTTCCTTCCCATTCCTCTTGGTCTAGTCTACCGCTAACTAAAAATGACAGTACTAATAATAATACGGAGAGGATTAAATAATCAGTACTTTTGTACCCATCTCCAGATGACCACAGTGAGGTAAAGACTGAGTCAGGACAGCCCTGTCCTCACTCTAGGGACACACAGGAAGGTGGAGGGAACCTACCTATTTTCCAGGATCTATCTGTGAATCCCCACTTCTAGAAGGACCCCAGGTGGGACCTCTGGGACCAAGCACCGTCTGCAGGATTCAGGACGGGCAGAACCTCCGGGCCACCTCATCAGATGAAGCAGGTAGCCCAAACCAGAGACAAGAGTCCCTAAGAACCACCAGCCACCCATTGCCAGCTACTGCCCGGATCGGTGAGGCCTGGGGGACAGCGGACGCTGGAGGATGCCCTGGAACCCCGGGCCAGGAGGCAGGAGTTCAGGCCCGGAGTACAACAGCTGTGCAGATTTCCGGAAGCCTGGGCAGAGAAGCGCCCGTGATTCCTAGTTCCCCCTCTTAAAATATAAAGACTCAATTATCTTTGAGCAGCTTGCTTTACACATGAATTGACACATTTATTTTACAATAAATAACTGAAAGTTATCTGTATTTCCTTTACTGTTAATCTACACAGAGAAATAATAAACAGGGCTTGTCTACGAAACTGTAAAGATTGCAGTCCTCAGAATTCAATTAAGCTAAAATAATTAATGCTCCTACCATATTAAATTACTTTATACATTTGAGCCACTGAAGTTGTATTCTTTAATCTTCCCTTTTTTATTAAAATTTTAAAAAGGGAAGGAAAGAAAGAAAAGTTGGTACCTAAAGTAGGCAGGGAGACAGAACAGGAACTAGAAAGTAAGGCGGTAATGGTTGTTAGGAAGAAATGCTCTTCTGTAGCTGACACAGCATGTAGACTGTGTTTTGTGCCTTTGATTAAAACAACATTTTAAATGCTTTGAACAAACATATCTCTTTAGAGTTCTAAGGGATTCTTTTACATATATCTTCTGGGCTGGGAAAAAAAAAATCCATTCGTCCAATTGCTGAGTAGAAGGACCAAGGAGATTTTCTCATCACTCATAAATAAAAATACCATCAGTTATAGCACATTACTACCCAAATAGGGAGAGAGAGAAAAACAAAGGACAAAAACTGGGGGACTAGAGGGGTGGCCAGGGGATGAGGACAAAGCCACTTGGAGATTGACTCTGTCTTTTATAAAAATCCCATCTAGTGGCTTTCTTAAATAAACCTCATGGAGATCGACATTCTCTCATTGGGAAATGGCTTCTGTGTGAAATAAGGATTTGGGATGGGGGCGGGGGGGGGGGGGTGTTGGGGCAGAGCAGAAGCCTGCAAGCTGAGCATAAGAACATACTGAGGGACTTGGAGCTTTCTGAACTCTACTCCTGTATCGGCCAGCATAGGCCAGGAACCCTGCGGCCTCCCTCCCTGACTGGCCCCATGTGGTGCAGGGAGAGGCGCTGGGGATCATTCTCCAGGCTGCCATCACGGAAGAAGTGAGAGATTCCACCCCAGGGCATCCATCTGAGGGCAAGGCGCCGCCAGACACGGGTGGCTCAAACCTATAATCCTAGCTACTCAGAAAGCTCAGATGTGAGGATCGGAGGTTCAAAGCCATTCTAGGCAGAAAGGACTATGAGACTCTTATCTTCAATTAGCCACCAAAAAGCCAGAAGTGAAGGTATGGCTTGAGTAGTTAGAGCAAAAAAAAGCTGAGCAAGGGTGTCAGGCCCTGAGTTCAAGTTCTAGTACCAGCAGGAGAGAAAAAAAAAAAGGCAAGAACAGAAGTCAGTATGGGGCAGACAAGTCTATCTCATTAATCTCCTTGGGCAACCGACAGTCCCAAAGTCACAAAGCAACCCCAGGACGGAGACAGCCCTTGCTGCCTTATCCTAGCTGACTCCCAGGTAATGGAGATCCCCACCCAGGCCTTCCCACCTCACATCCTAGGCCTCAGTCTCTTCCAGAGCCCTTGACAGCCTCCAAGACTGCCACCCATTTGCCCAGCCAGCCACCTACTTGAGCCAAAGGCAACCCTGAGAGCAAAGCATCAGGAAGTGCCTACCTATTTCATCCTCATGCCGGGGCTACTGGGATTATATATCCTGTTGACAGGTGGGGAAACTGAAGCTCACCCAAAGGACACCAGCAGGATTCGAACTCGGATCCCTAGGGTCTGGCTTCAAAACAGCCTGCGAGCCCCCCCCCCCCACCTCCCCTGTTCCACAGGTTCCTCCGACCTGCAGGACTCAGAAGCATAAAGCAGAGACAAACGCTCTGGTTCACGCACACTGAGCAGCAGTTCCAAGGGAGACGCCAGCCTGCCACATGTGGGACCTGACACCAAGTCCCTGGCACGAACACACCTTGCTGGAGGACACAGGCCCTGCCCAGGGGCAAACACCTCACACCTGTTCTGCAGGTAGTGAGACCAGCTAGCTGTCCAGGCCAGCCACATGGGCTGGCCTCCCCCACAAGGGGCACAGAGCACCGGCAAGTTCCCACGACCCCTCCCCACGCCTACCCTCAGGGGCAGGCAACAGGAGAAGCAGCCTCTGAGCTGAGCGGGGCCCATCCCTCTTTTCACAGACAAAGGTGGTGGGAGCTGAGTGTGCCCAGCCATCAGTGTCTTCCAGGTGTCACCCCACACCAACTGTCCTCAAATCACACCACAACCCTCTCCAGGTCGGTTCCCTTAGCTCTCTTTTACGGAAAGAAACTGACATTTCTGAGTTGTGAAGCAAGGATTCCAGCCCAACACTGCCAGACTCTCCAGCCAGGGACTGGGCCATGATCACCAGCCAAAAGAGGGCCAAAGCAGCCGAAGGTTTCCACGCTGTGCCCTAGAGCCCCAAATCACAGCCCCCCACCATAAAGCAAAGCCCCCAGCCATAGGCCAGGAGAATCTCCCTGAGCCCCGGGCCTGTGTCCTCTAGAGGACTGCCCAGAGACCATTCCAGAAGTGCCCAGAGCTGCCCCCGCACCAACGCAAGCACGCAGACTGCAGGTGTGAGCTCAAGGTGACGTCAGCAGCGAGCAGGTAAGCGACACGGTCCATACCTGTAATATTCTCCTGCTTGGGGCAGATGCCTTTCGTGGGTGAGAGCAGGTGTTCATCTTCATCGGGAGTCACCTGGATCCCAATCTCTACGGGCTCAGAGACTTTCCTGAGCTCGGCGCGGGAGGAAGGTGGCGGGCTGCCCTTGTCCAGGCCTTTGTCGTAGCAGACACCCAGGCTGCCACCACACTGCTTCTTCTTGTGCTCTATAAAAACCAGGATGTCCCCCAAGGGGAAGTTCATCTGACACTGGCCACAGGTGAGCAGGTCAGGGTCGGGGCCACCCACCATCAGCCCCAGGCCGCTGGGCTCCTCTATCTCCAGACCCTCGTCTTCATCGAGAATGGCCGTTTCCACATGGTCAGCCTCTGCTGGAGACAGGAAAGAGAAGGGAGGGGAGGGGCAGAGAAGACAGAGATGGGCTTAGGCGATCACAAGCATGAAAGCGCCCTCCACCCTTCTTCCCCCCCCCCCCAGAAGAGCCAGGTCCCTTCTGCTGTCAGAGGCTGGGACCCTCCAGGTCCTCCCATGATTTGAGGTTGGCCATCCCTGACCGCTGGGGCACAGCGCAGCCCTGGCAGCGGCATCATGACACACCCAAGGATTCTCACTCAAACAGTGGTGGCCCAAGCCCTCCCCCATCCCCAGTGCCTGCTCTGGCAACTTCTTCCAACACACCCAGTGCACAGGCACCCCATACGATCTTGGGATCAGGAGGCATGAGGAACCAGAGGCATGCCTCTCTAACTCCAGAGCATCCCAGGGGGAAGCCCAGAGAGCAGCAACAGGGGCCCATCCCTTTTAGAAACCCAAACATCTGTATGTTTTTCAAAGGCTTCCTGGTTGGGTGACTTCAATGCCCTGCCAGGGCAGGCCAGGGAAGCAGCAAACTACAGCAGAGCTGAGTCTCCCTGCTCTCTCTGGCTGAAGCTACTAACCCCCCCCCCCCACACACACACACACAGACATATACTTCTCACGCTTTCATTCATGTTTTGTCCTCACCATTCATGGGTGTCCTACTCGCATTCCTCTACCTGAGCCCTGGCCCAGCACCAAACTGGAAAACAGAAACCCAGACAGGCGTTGTCTGAGCGCCAGTCCCTCCCAAGGAAAAAAAGCCCACATGCTCAGGGACAAGTGTCAGGTTCCAAAAAAGAATATACAAGGGGACAGGAAGCTTCTACTGCCAGACGCACTGCCCCAGTCAGACTTTACACCCTAGCCAGCATCACCCAGCGCTCAGCAACTCCCTATCCTTTATTATTATTATTATTATTATTATTATTTGTTGGTTGGTTTTATTTTTGTCTCCCAGAGATAGAGGGGGAAAAAAATCCTTCCGAATCCGAAAGCATTTCTTGGCAGATTTCAAACCACACTCACAATGGGCAATCAGTATATTTGCTTTATTTTTTTTTTCCTTTTTGCTGCTGTTGTAAGGGGCATAGGACCCAAGTTTTCTGAAGCTAATTAATGTCTCAGAAAATCAGCCACCTCCTCCAGGGGAAATTGGGGAAGCAGGCAGAGAGACTGTCATAAATAAAGGGAAATAGCAACCTGGGCTTTCCTATTCCCCTTGGGGTCTGAGCAAAGGCTGGAATGTTTTGTTGTTGTTGTTGTTGTTTATTTCTTTTTTTTTTTAGACCAAACGTCAGAAGTCAGAAGCAGCGGGGTCACCAGAGAAGCAAGGAGCAGCAGAGGTCTGACATGGGGCCGCACAGGTAAACTCTACGCGAGATTCAGCAGAGGATATGAAAACCACTAGAAGAGCAGGGAGAAGGAATGGAAGGGAAGAAAATGCATTCCGGGGCAGTGAAGTTACTGGCAGGCCGGAGCCAAAGAACAGATAATTTAGGGAAAAAATTCTGTGGTGTCTCCCATCCTACATATAAATCACTGCTCTGTGTTTTCTGAACGCAGACTTGCTCGGGGCCTACGGGAGTCTGGGCGAATACTCATAGCTATAGCTCAGGACGTAGAACGTGGATCTCCGTGGAGAGTGATCCGATAGGAAGAGGTCCAGGTATTGCTGGACAGGGAATTAACAACTTGAGTGTCTCTTCCTATACTTAAATAAATAAATAAATAAACAGCAGACAGAGCTCTCCATGAATTAAATGTAGGGAAAAAAAATCCCATAGATGAGAAAATCCTAAATCTGTAGTCAGCCACATCTTTAACCAAAAAAATAAAAATAAAAAAAAAGACCCGACAAGGTAAAGAACCATCCTCTGAAAGCCAGAAACCATTAATTATACTTTAAAAAGAAACTGGAGTTTACTTAAAGGAGGAGTTTGAAGACAATGCCACATAATTAATTTACCAATTTATTGTATGAAAAGATGCTTTACAATGGTTAAAATGTAATCACAACCTTCAAAACTGCACAGCGGTTGGAGGGAAGAGACTGGCTTCTCCGTGAACAGTTTGTCAGAACGTAAAAGGTAATTATTCGGTGCCTCTCTTCCCTTTAATGATCTAACATTGAGCAATACTGTTTATATTGAAAAGCTCGCACCTTTAATTACCAATTACATATACATAATTCCAGAGCCAAAAGGAGAAGTCTCTGAAAAAGTTCTTTAGAAATATAAGGGTGTATTGTGCACCATTTCTAGAGAAGGAGAGTTAATAAATGGGAGGAGGATGTCAAAATATTGTTTTGCTTTAAAAAAAAAAAAAAGGCACAAAGGAAATGAGCTGAAAAGTAAAAAAAAAAAAAAAAGAAAAAAGAAAAAACAGGGGAGGGGGGAGAATTACAAAATGAAATTGAGAATTCAATCCAAGCAGGGCTCAGACACAGTACCTGGTAGAGTCTTAAATACCAGCCCTGAGCAGGCCTGGCAAAATGCCCCATGCACAGATTGGGTTAAAATAAAATAAAAATAAAAAAGCAACAAATCCACCCCCTGTCCCTTCTTGGGGGCTGGGGTGGGGGGTCCTTGTCTTGTCATTGAACCTGAGGATGACTTTTTCCATTTTTTTTTAATTAACTGTCTCAGTCACATCGGTCTTCCCTCCCAGCAGGCTGATGGCCAGCGTGAGGAATTCCCCTTTTCCTTCTGCGAGGAGATCTGAAGCTACAAAATTCCAAATTAATTTTCTAATTCAGAAGAATCACGGGCTCACTGAAAAATTAGCAAAGGTCACAGATGCCAGTTCACAAGCAACCCTATTCCTCCGAGCCTACGAGACTCCAAACTAGCACTGTTCCCCCTCCCGCTATCTTCTTTCTTTTTCCTCCCTTTCTTTTTTGTAACATCTGTTCTTCTCTTTCTGGCAGCTTCTGTCTTTAACTCTCCCCACGTAGCCGGCCTTATGCACCCAGTAACTGAAGTTCTTCAACCCTGTCTACTAAGCCACGGTTCTGACTGCGCCTTAGTTTCCCTCATGGCCGGCCAACCAGGGGACAGACAGATAGCAGACAGCACCATGACCCTACATCTCTAGCTCACACACACAAACCAAGATAAAACTCCTGTCCCTCAGGAAACTGGATGGTAAAGGAAGGGGATGCCTCCTTCCCCTTCCATTTTCAGCACTGGAAGTAAAATTGCGTGAGCAGTGAGTGGCTCAGCCTGTCACCTCGAAAGAACGGGGGTTTCCTCGCTCGACCCCAGGCTGTGGGGCTCTGAGCTGTGGCCTAGGGCAAGGGCTTGCCATTTCTCTCTCTCTCTCCCCCTCTCTCTCTCTCTCTCTCTCTCTCTCTCTCTCTCTCTCTCTCTCACACACACACACACACACACACACACAGAGCATTTAGGCAGCAGAGTCTTCCTGAGTCCCAAAGTCACCCAACTTCTGGGTCATAGATGGGTGGACCAAGAGAGCCGAGTAGGCCTCAAGGCTACGGTGTGTGGTCTTCAGAGACACCCCCTAAAGATTGTGGTTTCATTTCCGCTGGCGGGCGGATACTGGGCTGGGCATGTAGGGGTGTGTGTGTGTGTGTGTGTGTGTGTGTGTGTGTGTGTGTGTGTGTGTGTGTGTGTGTGTGTGTGTGTGTGTGTGTGTGTGTGTGTGTGTGTGTGTGTCTTCTTAGAACTATATCAATAACAAAAAATAAATAAAAAATGAGAAAGAGCCACTTGACCCAGCCCGGGGCACGGAGGTGTGTGGTCCTCCGGGCCTTCCTCTGTGGGCCCCGGAGAACAATCCTGCAGCTCTGTGCCACGCTGCCCCCAGCCAGGCCTCTGCTCTGACAGGCAGAGCAAGCATCCCAACTGCCACCCAGCAAGGAGAGGCAAGACAAATAAAAGCAACCCCCCCTCGCCGGCCCCTCCCACAGCCTCGCTTCTTCTTCTTCTGAGAAACTGGCTTTCTGGATAGAGCTCCCCAGGTGCCAGAGCCCAGCAGAATCTCACTGCTCTCTGGGTAGGAGGGAGGGGAGTGCAGAGAAGCTTCACTCCACTCGTTAAGAGGGAAAGTGAATGGATACGGCCAGCCGCGAGCTCAAATGTCAGAGGACCAGGGAGGGTTCTGAAATATTAAATCCTAAAGTGCATGAGCAAATATATATTCACATTCACACACACACACACACACACACACACACACACACACACACACACACACTTTTTCTTTTACAACAAAACCACATTTTATTTACAAGGCTAGCCTCCTCCCAGCTGGTAAGTGCCTTGCGAAGCCATGCAACCAGGCTTCCCAAATAATCACCGACATCCTCATTCTGGACCGCGGAGGCTTCTGATCTCGAGACAAACTTCCCCATGTCTCCCATGGGCAAGGGATGGAATCGGGGCACAAGACAGAAACGGGAGAGCGTGCTTCACACCAGCCCAGCCGAGCCATCTTCAAACCCCAACGGCCATTAGGGCGTAAGAGGCCCTCACCTGGCCAGCCAGGGCCCCACTCGTGATCGCCCCGCCCACCCAGGTGCATCTCCAGCCACCTCCCTGCACCGGCCCTTCTTTGGGGAATTCCAGCCCAAAGGCCAGCCACCTGCTGTCCCAAGTGCAGAACACAACACGTGTGCTGTGTGCACAGGACTGGCACGCGGAGGCAGCACACAGCACACACGTACACATGCGCACATATGGGTGCCTCCCCAGCATGCGAGCTCCTCCTGTTCCTCCACCATACTGATGAACCTGCAGTCCAGGAGACACAGAGGCGGAATTATTGGTTCCATGATGAGGGTGGCGAGAGTGGAGGGAAGGACGCCAGGCTCTTAAAAATCGTGTGCCACGCACGTCACAGCCCCCACCGTGATGTGTATGTGTGCTTACAAGACACACGCACATCCATCCACCCGAGCGCTGCCTGCACTGGAGACCGCACCTGCTCCCCACGAACACAGCCGGCGCGTTTGCCAGCAAGCCCCAGCTTCCCCGAGACAGGCAGAGGTGAT